TGGGCTGGGACCTCACTGTGGCTCGGGAAAGCCTGGGGGGGGGTCCCCTATTAGAGGCACCCCAGGTGCCTCTCCCTCTAACCCCAGACCACCCTCTCCTAAGGGAAGTGACCAGGTTGGTCCAACCCCAGGGAATGGAGTAATCAGGAAACAAGAGATCAGAGACACCTGGCCGAGGATTGAGGAGGGACCCAAAAGCTCACGTTCAGGATGGTCTCCTAGATGGGTCATAGGTTCAAAGGTAAAGAATAATGAGTAGATTTTGAAACAACCCTTGGAAACAGAGAGGGGCACAGTCAGTGTTACAGGTGATGGAGTCACAAGGCCTGGGCTCCAGTCCTGCCTGTCCAAAGTGAAATCTCGGTGGCCTTAGCCCCTACACTCCTCACCCGTGAGACACCTCACAGTAACGGTAAGACCACACTTCCCATGGTAAGATCCATAAGACCAGCCTTCAAAGAGAAAACCACAGCTTGGCCTCAAAAGGAGGGTGTGTCCCCACCACCAGTGCCGAGCCTGCCCAGAAGCCCGGATGCCAGGAGAGCTTCTCATTCTCACCATTTCTTCTAGGACTCTCTCACCTCATCTCTTGCTGCCACCCGCATGGTGCTCAACACTCCTGCCACACCTGACTGCTCCTCTGCCCTGGCTCAGCTGCTCCCTCTGCCTTCCTCCAGCTCAAGGAGCCTGACTAGCTCCTCTTGGGTCCTTCAGGCATCTGCACAGACACCACTTCCTCCAGGAAGCCTCCCTTGACTGTGTTAGGGGCCTGCTCCACAGCTTCCGTGGTCACCCTGTGACAGCACCTGAGGGCTCTGTGATAGCATTTGCCTGTTTGTCACCTGCCTCCCTCACTAGATCCCCAATTCCCAGGACCTAGCACAAGGCCAAGCCCACAGCTAGAGGTGCTTGCTGAATGAATGAAACTGAAGGCCACTTGGACACAGGCCCTGACAAAAAGTTGTGGGAGGGAATGAGCATTCTTTCGCTATGGAAACCATAAAGGACCCAACGAAGAGTACCACAAACACGCAAGCACATCAAAACACACAACACTGGCCACTAGCAGGTAGCAACAGAGATGAGCCCAAACTGTACCACACCCAAGCAAGAGGGGAGGGCGTGCCCACTGCAGCCCTACTGACACAATCTGACACTGTGTGAGGACTGTCCCGTGCACTGGAGGATGCTGAGCAGCATCCCTGGCCTCTACCCAACAAATGCCAGTAGCATACCCAAGTTGTGACAAAAAAACGTCTCCAGCCATTGTTGAGTTTCCCCTGGGGGACACAATCACTCCCAGTTGAAATACTCTACAAGGGAGAATTCCCAACCAAAAGTAACCCTAAAAGCTACTGATTCTGAAGCACTTCCTGCACCCGGCATTATGCTCCAGGCTTCTGTAAACAGTGCACAGAACTCCCAGAACCAGCCTATGAGGGGAGCCCTGACATCGGCGCCACCTTACACCCCCCTGATGTTTCTTTACAACTCTGAGCCCTGTACCACACCTGACAACTCATCTTCCTATGCAGAAACACCTCACCTTTTAGGGTGATGTTAATGGTGACATCTGCGTCCTCAGCACAGACATGTCAAAGAGCAAGCAAGAAAAGACCCAACCAGAAGGTTACCCTTCAGGGCCTGGACAAGGGGCCCTCTGGGGAACTGCAACCACTTCCTCCGAACACATCTGCAAGCCAGGCACAGACCACTCTGGTCCCCCACCTTCACATATCTGCATGTGCTGTTCCTTCCAGCTGGGAGGCCCTTCTTCCCACCGTCCATCAGTCACCTCCTCATCCTTCCTAGACAGAAAGCGCCACCCGCCAAGCCAGTCTCACCAGTCCCTGGCTCTGGGCCTCCAGCATCCTGAGTTAACTCTGTGGGACCAGCAGTAATTGTGACTGTCCGGCTCTGCCTTTGTCTCCCAGGCCTGGTCCCTCCCTCCCTCGTGCCCAGCACCAGTCTGCCTGCCCTGCCCTCAGCCTCATCTCATAGGATGGGACCCAGTGGTGACTACTCTACAGAAGTACCTCCCGGAGACAGCTCACAAGAAGCCAGGGCCACGGGGCAAGAGAGCCTGTCAGGGTGAGGAGAAGTTCCCCTCCTCCAGTCGTCCTGAGGCCAACGTAAGTCTGAGGCCATGGATCTATGATGGCAGGTGACAAGGGCGGAGGGGAAGGGGTGTCCAAGGGACTGGGCCTGAGGAGGAAAAGATGAGGGTGTGTGGGGCGAGGGAAGAGTAAGAGAGTGGGGTTGAGTCCAAGGGGCAGGGGGAGGTGAGGGAGAGGGGCAGGCCAAGTACAATGCCCTGGGACGAAAGGGGCACTGAGGGAAGAGACTAAGAGACTTCGGGGGCTGAGGGAACAGGGGAAAAGACTAAGAGACTTAGGGAGCTGAGAGTAGAGAGTAAGAGACTTGGGGGGCTGAGGGAAGAGATTAATAAACTTGGGGGAGCTAAGGAGACTAAAAGATTTGGGGGACTGAGGGGGGAGACTTAATAGACTTGGGGGCTGAGGGAGAGATCCTGGGAGCCCCAGGAGGGAGGGAAAAGGTCCGAAGGAGAAGGGCTGAGGAGACTGACGAGTACTGAGGCGGCGCTGCCGGGGACTCGGGGAGCCAAGCCTGGAGGAGCACCGGGGAGGCCGCTCAGGGTCGCCGGCGAGGTGGACGCGAGTCCGGACCGGGGACTGGGGGAAGTCAGCGGGGTCACGAGGCTCGCGCAGGCCTTCAGTGGGGAAGCCGCCCCGGTTTCCCCCGCCCTGCGGCAAAGCTCAGGCCGGTCGGGTAAGACGTCCTCCACTGTCCAAACGGGCCGCAGTGGTAAGAGGCAGCCGACGGAGGCTGAGGCCCACTTCCTGCACCGCCCCTTCCCCACGCCGGCTCGTTCTCCCGGCTTTGCAGTTCGTTTCGCCTCCCGGCTTTGCAGTCGGCTCAGAGCCTCCTACGCCCGGATCCGTCCGCCACTATCCCACAACCCCCTAGCCAGAGGCACGCAGGAGGCCCCGCCCTCCAGCCGCGACTCTCTGCGCGGAGGCTGCTCTCCCTCCCGGAAGTGCGCGTGCACAGGAACCCGGGCGCTCCCCATCCCGCCTACTGAAACTACCTCCACCTCCGACGCGCTTGCGCCCGTTGGTGCCAACGGTCTCTCCCGGAATAAACCCAGACAACCCAGTACGCAGGCGCCACTGCACACCCAGGGGTTTTTCTCTACTACTCCGTTCCAAACTCCAGAGGAAACCTTGCTCCAGGATTTCTCCTCCCACTCGCTTCTTGTGGAATCAATCGCTATTTGTCTCCTCCAATCGTATTCAAGCTCTCTCCAGGGTCGAGCTCCTGGATAATCTGTGCCGGGTTCCTCTCTAGGGCAAGGCGCTAGGTCCAATTCGGTTTCTTCGCGACAGCTCTGTGCCTCGGGGTGGCTTCAGTCCCACCAGGCCTTTGCCCAGGCAGTGTCTTTACTGTTGCCATTTGCTGCACAAAGACGCCTCTAACAACATCGACTGGAAGGGTTCTGCCAGACCTTGTATCAATATTCATTAAAGTCCCATCTGGCTCATAGCTCCCTTTGCCCATGTTACAGCCCCACTCACTGTAAGGATACAAGTAAATGGATGTAAAGATTCAACTTGTATTTTCAACCTGTAGTGTTGTTACCTTCTTCATTTCAGGGACACTCGAATCATGTTTGAATACATTTTCCTGTTATAGATGTTCTCTATTTCGGGGATGCCAATTATGCATTTGTCCTTTACATCTCTTAGTTTCTAATTGCTTCAATCTTTCTCATTTCCTCCAGCATTCACTGATTACTATATGTCCGTAATTTGATTTTTCGGCCATGTCTCTTCTGGTCCTTGCTATTTCTAGTATATTTGTTGCATGTGACACTTTTTGATCCTTGTATCAGGTGATGACAAACCACCTCAGTGGCATGTGTCACGTTCGCAATTTGGAGCTGCAGGTGTGAAGCCTGGCAAGTGGACGCCTGTGTTTGCCCAGGACTGTCTGGGACCAGATGAGCAAGAGTGTCTAATGCTGGGATGAAATAGCAGCAAGCCTGAAGCCACTTTCTCTGATTGGCTCTAATAATAAGGGTGGCAGTTGATCTCCAATTCTCTGATCCTGTAGCTACCTTTTGAGTTATCCTGAATTTGAGAGGAGTGAAAATAATTGGTCCCTCAAAAATTCCAAGAGTAAATTCCACACAAGAGGAATTAGTCTGGCATCACTGAGCTAGAACACAAGGATACGGGGAAGAGGAGCACAGCTTTGGAATTAGGCCAGGTCTGAATCCTGACTGTATGAATTTAGCCACGCATTAACCACATTGGGCTCAGCTTCTCGTCTGGAAAACGACAATGGTCAGGGCTCTTGGATGCAAATGACGAAACCTACTTTAGCTAAACTGAAAAGCAACTCATTAAAGGAGGTGAGGCAGTCTCTCTCCCCCTCCCCCCAAATCTCTGAGAAGACCAGTGAGAAGGCTCGGTGCTTTGCAGTTCGGAATGAACCCCACGCCCAACCACAGGCCTGTCCCATGCACCCAGACCGACCTACAACACCGGAGCAGAGAGCCCCACCAGACCTCAAGGCACCTACATTCTGCCTTTCAGACACTAGCTCCCCAGCAGGCAGTGCAGCAGGCTCTGATTGGTAGGGCTGAAGTCACATGGTGTCCCCGCTCCCACACAGAATGCTGGAAAAGTACATGGCTCCT